CTTTTAGTGTGGCCATTGCCATAGGGTGTGGGTCATTCCAGTCAAGGGCGAACAGCAAACGCCTAAATTAACTCAAACAAACCCTGCCATGCATGGGTAAATGGGAGACCAGGTGTTTGGACCATTTGAGCTACTGAAAAAACAATAATGGTAATGTGAGTGTTCTGAGAAATGCTACATTTGAGTACTGCAGGCCCATATCACAAGACAAATTATATGAAACATACAGCTTTCTACAGGCACATGTTTGGCCTTAAACAAATGCTGTAATGCAAACACTGATGCAGAGTACGGGCCTCATTCAGGCTATTCTCAGCTTGTCAGAATCATTCATACACAGACCTAGATTGATAGCCTGATACCTAGACTGATCTGCATTAGGTCTGCCTAAGCAGGCACCATACATTTGTGGCTAATGTGGCCTCGGATCTGCCAAACCAGGACTCACCTCTGTCCTTGGCACACTTATGCATAACTACCACATCCAATGCAGAATTTCTGCAGCAAAGCAAATATTGTACAACCTAATAAGTTCCAGTTTTCAAGGAAACTTTGTGATGATCAATTTGTCAACCAATATCCTAACAACAATTAAGCCCATGTGCCGAGTTTTTGATAACCAAATATAATTTGCAACTTCATTTAATGTGCTTACCTGCATAAATAAGTTTTTGACCAGAAGCAATGTAGTCAGACCCCTTCTCTTTTTCAATCTTTTCCTTGAGTTCTCTGACCTGAAATTAGCACAAAAGGTTAATGGGTCACAGAACTTGAAGCATCAAGCAGAATACACTGAAAAGTACCTGCCAGACAGAAAAGAAAGGCACAAATAAGTACCAAAATGACATGGAAGACCACTGATGTATAGGAATCTTGCGATATGATCCTACAGAACACCATTTACATGGAACAATAAACCATTCAGAACAGGGCCACATGCATGAAGTCACAGTAAACATTTTTACCATAAGTATTTTAGTGTACCACTGGCATGCAATATTTTTTCATGGCTTCAGATACTGTACATGACATATGCAGATATATATTCAGATGTGTTTCCTTTCATACAGATAGCTATAATGTTTAATATAAGCTGCATGCATATCACAATGCATGCAAACTTGAATACAGGGGCACACATCCCAAGGACCACCATGTGTACATACCACTGATCCAAGCATGTGTGGGTTAGTCAGCAGCTGATTCCCAAGTCCATCCCAGAGTCAGGTCTTTCAAAAGTTTACAAGATCATTTGCACTAAGATAAGTGCAAACTAGCCTGAAAAACCTATCCTTTATGCCAGACAACTACTGAACATGTGCCCTTAAACTTGTACTTGTGAGTGCCACCCCAAGACCTGGGCAAATGCTGATTTGATAATTTTTGTTAAATTTTTTCTGAGTATTTTGTGCAATGGTCCATTAAAGCATCACATTGCCTTAAAACAAAAGCTTGTGAAAAAACTGTCTGAGTATTTTGGGCAATGTCATACTGAAACATCACATTTCCTTAAAACAAAAGATATGTAATGAAATTGGTGCTGACCATGCACCAAGCCCTGAGTACTGAGGCTTTCCATGTACAAGCACTGTAATGGTGGCCAAAATTGCGCTGCTATGCCAGACATGTTCACAATAACATGCAGTTTTAGCAGACCAGATTGCATATCATAAATGCAAAAAATATCTGTTTAGCTTTGAAAATGCCAAATAAATAACTAAAAGCAATCTCATATGGTTTGTCAAACCAAGTTGCTTGAGTTTTCTGGCAAGGCCATGTCTGTAATCAATGCAAGAGCCATGTTGCCTTCTGAAGGATTAACAGCATGATTACTATCACACAGAGCTCCAGTGTTTGGCACACAATAATGCCACCTGAATCACAAACCAGATGGAAAAAACAAGCAACAGCTTTTGGTTTACAGGTTCAGAACATGTGAAGAAGGGACTGCTATGCATGTCACATAAGAATACTTACAGAAAGGGACACCATACATGGCAAAAAGCACCCTTTATGGTGCACCAGTGTCTTCATTCAGTTAACCTGAATAATGCATTCAATAAGTGCAAGTGATAACAGAGAACATCATGCAAAACACACAACGATGCAGTGCAAGTTCTCTGCATTAATAGTTCATGGAAACAACCACAATGGTGGACAATATAACAATATAATCAACTTACAGACTGGGATGCATCGATATCTATCTGGAAGGTCTGCTGCTGCAAATTCTTCATTGTGATGAGCATTTTGAAGCAGTTATGAGCTGGCAAGGCCAGCAGCTAAGTGATCCAGATGTCGAGAGGTTGATTTCCGTGAGCACTGTTGTCAAAACACCGGAGTATTCTCCAGTAGTTCGGCGAGGTTGGACGCGGCACTGCCGAAGTCTTCTAAAGCATCTGGCGAATACAAATATCCAGGATCCTCATCGGATTTAGGCCACTCTTGCTGCCTCAATCCCACCGCCCAACCCAGTTCAGAGATTCCAATCGCTGAGCATTGGATGACGTAAACGCACTCGCGAACGTGAGGACCGCTTCTCTGGGACGACGCTCCCTGAGCACCTAACCGTCCAGAACCTGCTTCTGCGCCACTGTCGCAGGAAACGACTTGTCATTTTGGCGCACAAGCGCAGTAGTTGTAGACCCCTCTTCGTGACGTAACGGCTTGCTTCCGGCGGTACTATTTTGCAACCGTTTAAGGCACCATGACAATCCTCGAAAATTGCTGGTATTATTCACCTTAAACGCCCACTTTCAGACTTCCGGCATAAATTTTGTCAGTCGTTGTGAGTCTGGCTATATGCTTTTGACACTGTGATCATGCCAGTGAGAAGTTTTTAATATATCCCCCGTAACCATCTGTTTTAAGCCGGCTCACAGCTGGACATGACCATGCACTTATAGACCAGAGGTTTATTCCTGCACCCATTGAGCTTCTGCTTAACTAATCTGATGCCTGTCGATACGCTGTAAAGAATCAGACCGCATGACGTGCATGTAGCGTCATACATGCGTGAAGTACCACGGGGGAATCCCGGCGTAATGTCTGAAAGGCAGAATCCCTCCCTTTTCTTCCTTTCACCTATTGTTACACCATACGCGTACAATTTGATCCGAATCATATGTTTCTCTAAGTCCTAAAAAGCTTAAAATTTCTATTTGAATTAGCCAAACCTGCGGGAGAAATTGTATTTTACTCCCTGCTCATCATTATGAAAGAAATGCATTTCATTCACTTTGCTTTTGTTCTTTAATGTTTAAAACGCACTGACGTGTTAAACTGTTTGTGTTATAAATGCTACGTAAGCTGGAAACACTGTTGAAACAAAATATATGACAAGATGAAGCTATTTTCCCGCGTTTTCAACCGAACGTTACACTATGGCTTTTGATTTCTCCCAAAGTTTACCACAGCGGCTCTTTTCGAAGGTCACTTTGGCTTTGGGAATGGGGGAATAATATCCATGTGACAGGTACGTACGGCGGTTGCCGCGACGACAGTGGTCACTCCTACAAGGAAGAAGCGCATTGCTGTCGCGAAGCGCTAACAGCGTAATTTTGAGTCGAGAATGATTGAAGTTCAGATATCCTCATTATGCTTTGGCGGTGCTGCAGTCGCGCTGCCCAGTGTAATTTTTAGATGCAACGAGTCATGAGGTTTCACTTAAGTATGTTTTTGAAACATGCGGTAACGCAGGCGGAGGGACGGTACAGGGAGCATGTGCAAATCCGAGATCTACGATTTCCCTCTCTTACTCTTCCCCCTTGAGGTTCCGGGGGCCCAAAGATCCCTCGTAGCCTAAGAATAATGGCCCGAGTTGAGGGGGAACAAGGACCCAAAAGGCCGGCCAGAGGTCGTATTCAGGGGCCTTGGCCCGCAGGGTCGCGTACCACCATTGGCAGGCCAGAGGGCCCTGCGCGCTGATCAGGGGTACCCTGAGTTGGTAGAGTCTATATGTTGGTCAGATACGACCAGTAACGCACAGGTGGCTCCATGGTCGCCAGTGATTTGCAAAGCTGGGCCCAGTGACTTGCACTGGTCGGGACCCCTGTATCGGTCAGGAAACGCAGCGCTGAACAGAGGATTATGTGCTC